GAGGCGGCGATACCGTTGTTGACAAAACTATAGCGACTTTCGGCGTCGATTGATGGCGGCGACTGAAATGTTCGAACAAATGAGAGACGTTTTCTAAAGTCAAAAAAGCGAAGCGTTCGAGCGACCGAGTCAGTCTGAATTTGTCTAGCGAAAAGAGCAGATCGATTTTTGACGAGCTAAGAGTGAGATTCTAAGAGCGTAACGAGTGAGCGTTTTAAGAGACTGTGTAGAGTTTTTGCGTTGAATTCCCGATTCTTCTGGCCCTTATTTTATAATATAATAAACTTATTATACAACCTATATCCCTACATTTGTAATATACAATTACATATCTTTTTTGCAGAGCAACAATGTATTTTCTTTACACCATTACTGTATTATTTATACTTATCGTATTGGGGGGCGGGGGGTTTCATTATTATATACATTATGGAAGAAATGGGCGACTGATCAGTCTTATACCAGGGCCATCAGGTTATCCGATTTTTGGAAATCTACTGCAATATATAGGCCCACGAGGTAAGTTTAAGTTTTTCAAAAATTTGCATAAATTAAACGTTTTCCTTAATTTGTACATATATACGCAAAAGTAATAATTACGAACACATTTCAGTTTAAGATATATTACTATCAATATTATCGTATATTCATATTATATACATTTTTTTAGAGAAACAATGGAAGTTACTGATCAGTCTAATTGACCAGTACTATCCAATTGTTAAACTTTGGGGATTCTCTATCCCCTTTGTATTCATCCGTCATCCGGACGATTTACAGGTAATAAAATATTTAAACAATTTAATTTTCTGTTAACTCTCCGTGGTCACACTGGGTCAATTTGACCCAACCTTATTTGGATCTAAATATCAGCTAAATACGTAGCTTAAAATGGAGCTTGGTCCGCCATCTACAAGAGTTTGAAGTATCCTCTATAGGTAGATACCGTTAAAAAAACAAATTCTTCGCGAATTTTTTTTATATGTTAAAAATTCCTGAGGCACTTCTTTTTTCATAGCAATTAATTTAGCAATATCGCAGGTGCATTCGAGAATTTTTTCAACACGATCGGTGGATAAATGGTCAAATGGCGAACGATCAAAGTTCGTCTCGGGTCAAAATGACCCAGAGTGACTTCCTTGTTTGAAAAAATAGGTGTGACCACGGAGGTTTAATGTTCTTATAGTTCATACACCAGTGATTTAAGTATTTAGGTGTAATTTTGCTTAGTTTTATTTTGCGAAAATATATATATTTATTCATAGTTTTATAGAGATAATAATCAAATAAGACAATTTCCAAATCAACTAATTAATTATTTACATTGCATCTAAATTAATTGAATATCTTCTGTGATTTCAGACAATATTAAGCAGCCGGCACCACATTAGAAAAAACTTTTTTTATGATGTTCTACGTCCATGGATGGGCAATAATATTTTAATTAGTGAAGGTAAAGTACATAATAATAATTTAAAAAATTTTTTCTAGTTACAAAAAATTTTCTTGTTTATGAAATGTCTATTGTTTATGTTTCAGGCGCCAAATGGCGTTCAATACGGAAAACAGTAACTCCCGCATTTCATTTTGATATTTTGAAGCAACATGCTGAGATTTTGATCAAGGAGGGTGAAAACTTGACAACATCTTTGAAAAATACAGGAGGCACAGTTGTAAAAGATTTAGTATCGTTTGTTAGTGAACATACGTTGAATGCAATATGCGGTATTACAAACACATTTTATTCAAAATCTAAACATGTACAATAACATTACTGTAATTTTACAAATTTCTTTTTAGAAACTTCAATGGGTATTTCTCTACGTGACTTCGGTGAATTCCAGCAAAAATATCGAAAAGCTGTTAATCGGATTGGCGAACTTTTTATTTATAGGTAATTTATGAATATAATAATAAATAAATAATTGTAATGAGATTATTATTTAGTAATTATGGTTTAGGTTAGTGAGGATGTGGTTGCACAACGACTGGATATTCTCGTTAACATCAAAAGGCAAGGAACAGGAAAATATTCTAAGAATGTTACATGGATTTACTAACCACGTACGTAAAAATGTTATCTTATTTTTTGTTAGTGGTTGGTATATTCATAATCACTATTAAAAAAGTGTTGATTTTATATACACGTAGATTATTACGGAAAGAAAACGGTATCATGAACGCAATAACGGTCAATTATTGAGAAGGAATGGAAAACTTTCCTTGTTGGATCATCTAATAGCAGAAAATCGAAAAGGTCGTCTAACTGATTTAGATGTCAAGGAGCAAATTGATGGTTTTATGTTTGCTGTACGTATTTCTAAATTTTCTTGGTTTTTTATAAATTATTTGAACGTATATTAAGGTATAATATATATGTGATTACAGGGTCATGATACTACGGCATTGAACTTAACCTATCTATTGATGCTATTAGCTGAGCATAAAGACATTCAGGTATTTATTGTTATAAATAAAATATAAATAAAAGGCATTCTTAGAAAAAAAGTTTAGTAATTTTAATGATTCAAACAGTTATGTATTAAAGTTACAAAATATTAAATTTTTGGTTTTTTAAATAAGATTTGGTTATGTACGCAATATATATATACATATACTAGCTTTTAAGTCCGTTACGCGGGGAATTACATCATATAGTATTTTTTTTTTGAAGTTTTAATCGATTTCCTTAGGGTTACAATTCTCATCCATCACTACCCTTCTTCTCTCACTTAACCCTTTGGACCATCGGCTTAACGTCTCTTTAATTCCGAAAGACGGAGCCCAGTTTGTTCCGCACAAGAGCCTATCTTGCACGGAGGGCGTAGCTTTCGGAAAATAAATTCCATGTTTACATGCTCTAGTGGACTACGGTCTAACAAGTAACACTACCCAAATGCAAATCGCCGATTTTGATAATTTTTGAATATGGAAAACCATATTTACACCCCTTTGAATTTATGGGTATTGATTTAATTGTTTTGTATATAAAGGATTTAGTATTTTCGGCCCGAACTAAATAAAATAGTTGCATCATCAAGAGATATAAAAAATGAAAAATTTTCGACTCGGTTCGATCATTTTTAGGGGGTAAACCACCCCCTGTATTTGAAACAAAAATTTAAAAAATTCCCAAATAATTGCAAATTTTATTCCAAAACTTTGAAAAAAATATATGTTACACTCGCATCCAGAACAAAAGTGAGACTGTTTGAGAATTTCAAAGGGGTGTAAATATGGTTTTCCGCCAATAAAAAAAAATACGTATGTCTTATTTTTACGTCTGCTAAAACATTCAAAAATTATCAAAATTGGCGATTTACATTTGGGTAGTGTTACTTGTATAAGCAACGTGGACCAAAAATGCCCTTATAAATTTTGTAGCCAAGGATTACTTTTCACAATGGTATATACCACATTTTACTAAAATTATTTGTTTTGTTGTTAAAAATCGGCACCAAACAAATAGTGAAGATCTCCCTTATACTTATTATTTCTCCAAAAATTAGAAAAATTTTGGAACTGATTAGGTTTTTCAAAACAATTGGTAATGAAAAATTATACACATTGTCGGCATCCCCGAAAAATTAGACAAATTTTGGCACCGGTTTTGAGAAAATCGGTTCATTAATGAATGAGTAGTTCGCGGTGAGACAGACAGATAGACAGACAGACAGAGTCAGGTACTTATATATATAATATTTGAATATAAAAATTTTAATTAATATTATAAATATTTACAGGATCGTGTCAGAAACGAAGTAAACACCACTTTTCAAGAGAATGGAAAAAAATTTAATAAAAAATTATTAGACAATTTAACATATTTAGATAGATGTATAAAAGAAACTTTGCGTCTATATCCGAGCGTATTTTTAATATCGCGAGTTGCTGAGGAAGACGTTAAATTACGTATGTATCTAAAATATTTATTACATGTTGCATGATATGTTATTCAGTTTATAATAAAGTTATTATTATTATTTAATTATTGTATTTTGTTTATAATATATTTTTTAGAGTCATATTTAGTACCGGCGGGAACAACTGTGGTCCTTAACATATATGGAGTTCACAGGGATCCTAATTTTTGGCTAAATCCTGAGACATTTGATCCCGATAGATTTTTGCCAGAGAGGACTCGAAATCGTCATTTCTATTCTTATATACCATTTAGTGCTGGATCGCGTAATTGTTTAGGTAAACTAGGATTTTTTAAATATCTTCTTATATGATTATATTAAGTCGCAAAAAATATACATTGATCAAATTCTAGGCCAGCGATACGCCTTTCTACAAATAAAGGCTTTAATAGCTCCTCTGATACAGAATTATTATTTAGAGCCCATCGATTATTTAAAGAATCTGAGGCTACAGGCTGACTTAGTACTTCGCCCAGCATGTCCACTTCGTGTAAAATTTGTCCCTATTTGAGGCAAGTTGAGGAAACATAATTCTTATTATTAATATATAACTTTTAGAATATAATAGTTACTTATAAATATACTGTAAATAAAGAGCACTGCTCGATCCACACGCGTGTATACGCACTCAAGTATCATATGTAGGATAATGTACATTATGGCTGTCGCGATGAGAGTTGCGCACAATATAAAACAATAATATTATAACAACAGAAAATTAATATACTACCAACGTTATTTTTAAGTCCAAATTACAAGTAATTTTGAACTGTTGCATTGATCTCAAATAAATGTCAGAGTAACATTTAAAAAATATTTTCTGAAACGTTTTTAACATATTTTAACAACATTACAAAAAAATCATATTACAAAATAGGGTAGACCGGGGCACGTTGTCACACAGGGCACATTGTCACATCGGCTTTATTTAAAAAACTAATAACCACAGGGCAGCACCCGTCATTCCCAAAACGTGTTAGTGTATGCCCATCTTTGGTGTGTTTACAGTGTTGAGATTGCTCCAGCCGTGTTGACGTAAAATCAACTTGAAAGTTTTTTGCGACCGTAAGTAAAATTTTATTGTCTAATATTCAACGTACTGGACATTAAGCTTATGTTTTTTCAGAATAGACCTTTATATTATCTTAAAGTATGTACTTTTACTTACCGCGTGCAATACCTTATGAATATCTCCAAACGTATCGGCCATGAGGCTGTTTGAAGTAAAAAAATGCCCTCGGGGCACGTTGTCACGAATTTGATGGGAATCTATTGCGAATCTTCGGATGACGATAACGAGTAAAAATATTTTATGTTTAATCACCATGATTATAAAAAAAAAAATGTGTATCAATAAGTTGCGCATTCGAGTGGAATTCTTGTATTTAGATTAAGACAAAAACTTCGTGCTTTTTGTACTTTTTTGAAATAAAATAAATGTTTTTGTGAAGGATTTTACTTTTTTACATTGCAGCGCACTATAATACATATATTGATATTTACGTTGAATACAGTTTGGATAACATTTTGCATGCAATTACATTTGATGTGACAACGTGCTCCGGTTACGGAGCACGTTGTCACAAGTGACCTGTCGTTATTTATTGTTATGTAACAACTGTAAAGTAACAATCACACAAAATTCGATACTGTCCAATTGAAGCTGAGGGTTCACTCGAAATTTTGGCATATCAAAGTACTCTTAAATATTGAATGTAAAATATACAAAAAATATTGAACCAAATATGTAACAACGTGCCCCGGTCTACCCTAATATTTTTCAAATATGTGTATAGTATTATTCAAAAACGTTTAAAAAATACACATAAAGTCAATATTTCTAAACGTTAATTTAATGTTCCTTGCTTACTGAGATGTTATGAGTAAAGAGAAAAAATTTCCATTCTCTCTCTGAACCTTATTGTATCTATTAATAGAGATTTTACAAAAAATAGAAAAATTTCCATGCTTGGAAACCCGTATTTATTAGTAGAGATTATACAAAAGATAGAAATTTTCGTCTGAAATAGCTCATCTGAATTCCATGTTTATCAATAAAAATTAAGATATTTCTGTCGCGCATTGAAACTTGAGATTTATTGTTAAAAATTAAATAAAATTTGCGTTAAAAATTCCTCTTATTAATCTTTTGTTTGAGTTTTATTATTTAAAAAAATTCTCATGGCTCTTATTCTTCTATCGGATTTGCATGAAGTAATGAAAAGTAATAAGAAAAAGAACAAGGAATTATTGGAACTAATGCCCTCTCGCTAACTGATAAATTAATCGTTCGATCGCTCGGTTTTTGTTTGTCTTTTATACTAAAGAATTATTCCGTCTATATTTCACAAAAAAAATTGTGGAGTTTTTAGGAAGTTTTAAGTTTTTAACATAAATATGAGCTTTATTATTAGTACCGATTACTTGAATACATCACGTTTAGAATGAAAAGCAAAAGAATAGATAATAGAGATTATAAATTATTATTTTGCGACATTTTTACGGGCGATAATTATCTTTCTAACAATGCTTGAGTTTAAACGTATTTTGTGCCGCGTTTTGTGCCAAAACGTATTTTGATTTGAACTTTTGTTCCTAATGTAATTTACCTACTATTATGAGATTGATCAAGTGATTGATCGGAGTGATATAATGATCGCTGAATCGAATCATTCGAGTAATGAGAAATCGATTAATAATTATAATTTAAGATACAAGAACGGAATATTTGGCGTATGTTATATGTGTTACAGTCAAAGCCCAAAACGCAGGCATTCCTAGGATTGACTAGTCAATCCTGGGGAACGACCAAGCGTCTTATGGCGTTTTCGATTCACTACTCGACCCGACTCGGGTCGCATCAATGGACGTGGAATACATACATAGATATGTATGTATTCCACGTCAATGATGCTAGAGTCCTGTATACATGATGCGACTCGTGTCGGTTTGAGTCGCAAATCGAAAACGCTATTAGTCAAAGCCCGAAATAAGTTTTGCGTTTCGGCTTTTGACTAGTCAATCCTAGGAATAACTAATACGGCTAGTCAAAGTTAGAAGCTAAAGAAAAATCACTTCGGACTTTGACTAGTCAATCCTAGGTGTGGCTTAATTCGGACTGTGTGACGTTAACAAATAAAATCAAGATTTTTTTTACTAAATTAAGTTCTTATTGTTATTAATGCCTCGCGACGCAAAATATTAAACGTTAAAGTTGACAGGAATCAGGTTATGATTCCTGTTATATCGACGAGCTGTAGCGACTACGGCGACTACTGGCGACTACAAACATGCCTTGTGGCCGCATGCGCATGCTCAGTGGCCGCACGCGCATGCAAAACTGCGCCAATTTTAAATGAATCAATCGTGCAGAATAACCAAGCATCTCGATTCAAGCAGTTAGGTCTCACGCTAGAAATTTCATTAGTTTAATTATGCGTGGGAAACACACACACACACACACACGGGGGGGGGGTGCGAGGGGGAGGGCCTTTGGCCCCTCTCCCCCGCACCCACCCCGTCGGTAGGCAGCGTGGACCTCGCTTTACAACATAAAGTACATGCTAAGTTGTAAAGCGAAATTTTATGTGCTTCCACCTTTACATGCGTGAGCGCACGTGAACAGGAAGGCTTTTCTCCCCTGCACTCCCCCCCTTATGCATGTACTTTATAATTTCGTTTTACAACAAATACGACACAAATATTTTTTTAAGTTCTATGTGTACTCACTTTCAAAAAAATCGGCGTGTGACACACTTGAGTAATGTTACTTGTTAAATGTGCAAAAAAACTGTATACATTATTCATTCTTATTGGAAATATATGGTCTATAGGTAGAAATACACAAAAAATATTGTTGCGCTCGTGCTGAGACACCCGTTGCGCGCTGAACTTCACTCACGAGAATGTTGCGATGCGCTTCGCTATTTCTTAAGCACTCGCGTTCGCGCCGCGCACTCCCGGATTCGCGAAAGAAAGAAGCACTCTTTTAAAAAGGAGGATCTCGGATTTATTCAGGTTCAGAACGATTATACATAAAAAGGTCTGGAGAACAGGTCTGAACGGTTCAAGTCCTCAGATAAATCTGACAGGCGGAGATAAATCAATAAATTATAAGTCCCGTTGTCAAGAGACGCGCTTCGACTTGAAGCTTCCGCGGAGCGAAGTTCAGGCTTCTCGTGAGTGAAGTTCAGCGCGCATTCTCGTGAGTGAAGTTTAGCGCGCAACGGGTGTCTCAGCACGGGCGCAACACTGCCCTCCCTCTTCAAGATTGTCGTCCCGACAATCCGGAAGGGCAGCTGAATAAGCGAACGGTTCCTAGGACTCCGAGACGATCCCGCCCTACCCCGAGCTGCTGCTACGGGTACCGGGCTATAACGTCTCTATCGGGTCCTCTTCCTCAGGAAGCCTTGGTCTTCCTCCGAGACGGATTCTCGTCCTACCCCGAGCTGCTGCTGCGGGTTACCGAACTACGTCTCTTCTGGATCAACCTCTTCCTCTTCGAGTCTCCTGTCACAGCGTCTTCTGGGGGAGAGCTGGCCAGGCTCCTCCTTCTTGCCGATTTCAGGCCGACTCCGCTGGAACTCCATTTCATTCTGGCTCGGTGCGGACCCCTTGTTTCCAGCGCTAACCCGCTTCTCTTGAAAGTCTTCGTACTTGGGGGGGGGGGGGGGGGAACTGCCGTGGACCCAACGTCACTTAGATTTCCCAAATCCCTGTCTCGGCATTCGCCCTTCGTCCCACGGGAAACCATCGGCTCGAAAACCGTGGGCGAGACAGTCTTCTTTAGTTTTTTTTTCTTTCTGTACAATTTCGCCTGATGTCACTCGGCACCTTCACCGCACGCG